ATATATAGAAGTTAATTATTCTTTGATTAGTTACTAATTTTAATTTAATATATATTTCTACAAATTTTAAATATGATTTATTTATTTAACTATAATATTTATTTTATATATAATTTATTATAAATTTTAATTATATATAATAAAAAAATGTAAGTTGTTAAATACACAGACTAAAATATTAGTATTTTTTAATTTACATAAAAATTATAGTATTATATTATATTGTAATTTGTGAAATATACTGGAATGAGAGGGATCCAAAGATTGTACAAGTGTGAGATTGTATAGTTGAGAATGACTTAAATGAATTAATTTGTACTATCTATACCAATGAGATACATCTACTCTTTTGGTAGCTTATTCCTTAAGAACTTCACAACTAACTTTGCTTGACATGGAGTAATTTAGGGATGGGTGACTTTTTGAGAAGTTTTCCAGAAAAAATGTGCAGGAGACGACAAGACACGTTGAAAAGTCTTGTGTTGATTTGTGGGGTCAATCTTTGATCCTAAAAGTGGACAAATATCTTCAAAAGGGTTACCCATGGAGGGTTCAGGGTTTTGACCGGTGAAGGATTCTGACCAATGAGGAGTTGCGTGAAGTGTCGTGGAGTGGAACTGCTGAAAGGCTGGATATGAAGAAAGTTGCACTAAAAATAAGGGTGTTATTTAATATAATTTCAAAATAATTTTTTAAAAATATCATCAACAATTCCCACGGATTTTATCCGTGGGTAATTCTGTCGGAAAGTTACCCACGGATTATAATTTGTCGTAAATGTTTCAGACGAGCAATTTATCAACGAATTATTGTCCATCTGTAATCTGTCAGAAATAAAGTGTTACCCTCGAATTTTTTGGATTACCCACGGATTTTGATCGTCTGTAATTTTGAAATTTCTTGTAGTGAATATGTGTATTAAAATATGGGTGTGGATTAATATAACTGAGAATTGTACTTTTGTCGCTAGTTACATTCTGTTTTTGGTTTTCTTGGCTATCATCAAAATATGAGTGTTGATTAATATGCTTTAGAATTATAGTTTTGTTGCTAGTTACATTTTGTTTATGATTTTCTTGGTTGGATCAGATTTTAGTTTCAATTTCTGGCTGATTTGTTGTTATATTACTATAGGTTCAGCTTGGACTTTGCTGATTGGGTGGAGAATTGGCTAATCTGGTGCTGTTTTGTTGTAGGTTCAAATGTTGCTCCTATTACAACTATACTAGAGGTTTGGAGTGAAGAATTTGACAACATGTTTAATTATGTATTTGTTTTGAAACATTGGTAGAAAAAAAAAGTATTGGAGGATTTTTTTTTGTAACATATATTGCTACACTATATGTTTGATTATGTTGAGCTTCAAAGAATTTCTTAAGTTGTGTTTAGCTTCTAAGTTTTAGTGTTCTTGTTTTTTTAACAATATATGTTTTAATGACTAACTTATATATTATATAGGGATTATATGATGTTGTGAGGCTTTTAAAATATTGCTTGAGAATTTGCCTGAATTATATGTGTGTATTACAGGTTAAATCAGAAAGAACCTAAAAATAAATAATTTGTTTAAAAAAAATTCAATACATTTGGTTCAACTTTAAATAGATGTAGATAAGGATGTAAATCTACATCGGTTCAACTTTGAACAAATGTAGATGAGAATGTAAATCTACATCAGTTCTCTATAAAAATCAATGTTTATGTCCTAATCTACATTGATTTTCATGTAAAAACGATGTAGATGTGAATATTCTACATTGGTTCAAAAATTGATGTAGATGTCTATGCATTTCTACATCACCTTATTTTACATAGATTTGAGAATCGATGTAGATACCTTTACAGAACTAATGTAGATAATATGTCTTGTAATAATGTTGGATACTTATAAACCCCACACTCCAACTTAAGGGGGGATTAATAGGTAAATAAATAAGTGATAATAACAAAAATTTGATTCGAATCTTATCTTTATCTTTGTGGAAGAATATTTCAAATGTTTGCTAGCTTAGTTGATAGAATATATATATATATATA